CCCCGTGTACAGTACTCCTAACTTAATACAGAAAAGGTTCCTCCTCCCATCAGGAGATGCAACCTATAGAAAACACAATAAATCTTGCCATTTCATTTTCATGCTCCTTTGTTCGCCCCTCCGTTGCTCATCTGACAAAATGGATATCAGTGTTGAGGGAGCAGCTGTAATGAGATGTGGACGGCAGCATGCTGAGGGCCAGGTCTCAGCGCCCGGCTTATGAGAGGCTGCGGGAAGCAATAATACATACACAATCTTAATGTATAGGTGTGCAGATAGGGCTGAGCTGTCAGTTGATAGATGAGAAGGGTTAAGAGTACCCCCTGCTGCAGAGTGTGTATGTGCAGGTTCGTGCATTTACACACAGGCCATACAGCAAATAAATGGAGTTGTCTGCCCCTTTGACTGGCAGTTACACATGGAGGGATTGTGCTGCTGGATAAAGCTGTAACCATAGGCAGATAAAGACCCCGGGTATTAGTTGATTAATGATCAAAAAGGCCGCCTTTCATGATTTGACCGTGTGAGGTGAAGGATTGGGAAAATGTGAGGAAAAAAGCAGGAAACCAAGATAGGGCGCTTGCTGGAAAAGCCTGCCAGATTGAGCTAGCTAAGCGAGAACACATGATGGGTTAAGATTTACAGCGAGCCAGGGACAGTATTTTGTTTCGGGCAATCGGTCGTGAGGCATGTATCAAGAATTACAAGTGAGGGAAATGAGTTATACTACCCCTGTCTTTGTACTAATCAGAACATATTGTCCCGGGCTCAAAATAGGGCTAGGCTTAAGTAAATGTAATTTAAGAAGTGTATTTTCTCCAGCCATAGAAGCCCCTTGATAAACTCTTCAAAGCAGATCCACATCAGCGGAGACAGAGGAGACTAAGCTATGACTGAGAGTTGCGTCACTGATAACTGATTTAATGAAAGACTTTGGAAAGTGGACCTTTTTTGTCTGCCTTTGATTTCGCTTGCTCTCCGTCTATGTATATCTGTCTCTCCCTTGTTGTCTCGGTGCTTCTCTTTCTCCTCTATCTAGGCATTAAAGGAGGATTTATACGGCTCTGTTGTTATTTCTGTAGCACAATGGATCACCCGGTGTAATGTAACCAAACCTTTTTCCTTTTGCTTTTAACTGGCCCCTCCCTCCCTATTGCATACACCCCTCGGCTCTCTGTCTTTCTTTCTCTCACGCACATACACCCTTTTCCTCCATCTCAGATTCTGAAGAATTAGACATTATAAATGGGGCCAATGGCAGTATTGGACACTCCCATCAAGGGGTCGAGCGACTGCTGTTTACTCTAGGCCAGGGACATTAGCATCTGATAAATCTACCTCACTCTGCCCCTCTCTGCTTCTCAGGTTCTGCATGTTCTAGTCCGACTGTATCACAGATGCCGCTTCCAGATGACAGCCCCAGCACCAGTGCATCCCTGCGTGTATGTGTGTGTGATATCGCTGACATTAGGCATGTAATGACCTAGCCTATCTGTGGTGTAACAGCACAAGGGTAGAGCAGTGTCAGGTACCTTGGGTGTATGCAGTAATAGCAGTAGCAGGGACAACATTTCACAACAGAGGCTTCATGTACTGCAGGTTTTCAAGGCAAATTATCCTTATTTTGAGAGTTCCTATTGAGAGTGTTTGTCAAATTAAAACAGAGAACCTTAAATGCTTGTCAGTGAGAGAGAATGAGATAAAAATGCACACCAGGGACAACCGGCACTTAGTGTACACATTTAGCTAAATTCATGTTCTTTCCAAAACACTATCATGAATTAACAATAATTGATCTGTGTAATTGTTATCCTGGGCGTGAGGAGGGGCCGGGTCACAGCGAGGCATTTACAGTAATTTTCTCATTTATGATGCACATCTATTGCCTATGATTACATTTGAATGAACAGCAAGCTTCAAATCAAATTCACAAAGAAACACACGGGATGAATAAAGGCCCAATTTCAGCAAATGTCTACATGGACTGATCAGCTGGGACAGATCCTCTCTTCAAAGCAGCATCCTGCCAGCTCCCCCCAGCCATAACCTCATATAAAAGACACACACACACACACACACACACACACACACACACACACACACACACACACACACACACACACACACACACACACACACACACACACACACACACACACACACACACACACACACACACACACACACACACACACACACACACACACACACACACACACACACACCCTTTCAGGAATCAATAATTCAGCTAAAGAGAAGCACATGCTACGCCCCAATGCACTAATCAATAGAAAGCCAAATGTTATCTTTTCATCTCATTCTCTGACTTTCACATTCTAATCGGGGAGAACTCCATTACATTTGAATATAATACAGACATACAGAGGATAAAAGGACCCCCAATTCAAAATGGGCCTCAGTTTTTCTTGACAAACCTGGCTCCTTTTTTAACAAAAGGGTCCTTAGCTGTAACAGAGTGCAGATCTTCTATACATTTTCTATGCATAGAATCACAAATATGTGTCATAAAATGGAGGCGAGAAAAGGTGGATGGCAACACTTGAGCATGAATTACGCCCCACTCCCCCTCCCTATCCAAGATATTTATGCCCCCCTGCTCACATCCCTTGGGAGAATGAGGCCATACCTTGGGAATGCAGCAGTGAAGATGAAGAGAAAGACCTGTGTGATTTGAGACTGATGACTAAATCGGAGCGGTGGTGTACGTGTGAAGCAAAAGGGGGGACCTGTAGTGAGTTTGTGTGTGTGCGTGTGTGAGTGTGTGTGTGCACATGCGAGGCCAAAGTGACTACCGTGTGATATTGTCGACTGTCGGACTGAAGCTGCCAGCCATGGCCCTTCTCCCCTCTCTGTAATCGAGCTATCAATGACCATTAATGAGAGTGTGAGATAGCTCTCTACAGCCCTCTGGGTTACATTGCCCAACACTCTGGCCTCTCTCCCCACCTCCCCTTTCCCCAATGACCCTGTCTATTGCCCAATAACATCCACCTACGAGGCCATCGGCTCACTAACTAAACACGCATATGAATGTCGGCTTCTGATTAATAAACAGAATGATATGCTCTCCCTGCCTCACCACGCCCCCACTGTGGTTCTCGTTTGCATGACACAGGACCCTAGCGGCTGGCTCAAGGATACCTCAATCGCTGACGGTGCACGATCGGATCTGCGCTGACCTTGGCAGTGAACTGCAGCAGAGGCGGAGGAGGCAGGGGGCCCTGTTGCAACAGAGCGGGCTGGCTGAGAGCGAGGGGAGGGAGGAAGAGGGGGGGAAAGAAATGGAAGGGAGGGAGGGGAGAATGGAGGGGCATGCCCTGATTGAGAGGCCTCCGAGATGAGCAACTCTGAGATATTAGAAGGGGGAAGGAGTAGTGGAGGGGTGGGTGGGAGGTAGAGGGAAGCCATATGGCAGCAGCACAAATGTATTAAACTATAAATCAGGGTGAGAGCGAGTGGACTGCCAGGTGGGGCTGCAGGCAGGTCGTCGCCGCTGGAAACGCACTGCTTCGCCATCCAGCTCCACATGAGAGAGCACGAAAACATCTCTCCAGTATACTTCACTGTCCTTTTATCACTTTTATTTATTCATTCATTGCATTAACTCCTTTTCTTTATGCCTGATGCCCTTTGTATTGACAAAGTGGATTTGCTACAATTTAGCGTTCATTTCTAGGGCTGGGTGTTTACAAATGTTCCACACTAATGCTAATAGAACAGCTATTTGCTTAATTAATTGTATTTGTTCAATGTTTCAGGGTTGAAAAAACTAGTAAGATGTCTTTCTCTTAATAAGATAAAGAAATATTTTGGTTTATGTCAAAAAATTATATAATTTAATGCCAATTTCCAAACTTGACACATTGGAAAATGTTGCTCAGGAAATATTTAGTTCCCTACTGTATTGAAGTTTGTTAAGCTGCCCTACAGTATATAGTCCGCTATGAATGAAATGGAAAATTGTAATATCACAATATAAAAAAAGGATTTGAGACATAACTACTGCACAAGTCAAGTTCAACTGCACACCTTTAGCATCCGATAATGGTCAGAAATTAGTCTTACACATGTGCTAGAAAAACAAATGGAGTAAAAACCCAAAAGGCTTCCATTTTAATCCCTTGATGAAGTCTGGGTAGTGTGCCCAGCCAGTGTCCTGGCAGCCGTCGGGGCCCAGCCTGGGCTTCCATCCCAGAGGCACTGATGCATACTACAGCTAGAGCAAACACGGGCAGCCTCCCTCATGCCTGCTCTCCGTCAGAACATAACGACCATCACCGTAAAAAAAGAAGGGTTCATAACCTGTATGTCTCTCTTTGTGAAGCACTACAATAAGCCATTTGTGCTGGTTAGTGAATAAGCAGCTTCATAATTAAACGTTGTATTCGCCTCAATCAGAAAAGTGGCATTGAAGCACTCAAACAAAGGCCTACATTCAGCTTTCAAATACTTCATTAGGGAATTAAATGTGGGTCCCGATCCTCTCATCTGTTTAAAAAATAGCTGCTGTCACTTATTTACAAATAACAAAAGCCTCTGAATCTTTGATATGTTATTTAACACATCACACTTGATGCCATTGCACTGTATCACATCAAGATCTCATCAGTTTGCAGGCGAGGGATGGATGGATGTTACTGGACAGCTCCCAGTAACGGTCTGGTACGCTGGACTAACTCAGGCCTTGATCCCTGATCCTGCACTCAGAGACACAAGGATACACACACACACACACACACACACACACACACACACACACTGACATAGACATCCAAACTCCCAACGAGGTACCTGCCATCTGAAACCATCACAGCCAAGGCCGGCTATCCATCAAATCCCATCTCCACTCAGGGATGAGAGGGGGATGAAGAGAGGGCGGTGGAAGAGAGGAGGTGGGGGAGGAAGGGAGGGAGGGAGGCAGGACACAGAAGTGTAGGAGTAGATGCTTGAGGAATGCAAGAAGAGGAGAAGAACCGTACCTTGGTCTGGAGATAGTGGGGGTAGTAGTAGGTGTACTGAGGGTACATTGGCTGCTGCTCCAATCGCTTGCCCATGTAGCTGGAATCCTTAGCACTGAGGCAGGGAATGGTGACACGGGGGCGGAAGCTGCCAAGTAGCTAGCAATGGGATAGAGGCAGCGGAGGGGCAGTGCGATTATTTTCTGTGTCGCTAGCCGGTTCTCCGGGGAGAAGACAGGGTCTGCGTGTCGGACAGCAGCTGGGAGAGGGTCTGCCTCTGATTGGGGGGGGGGGGGGGGGGGGGCTCTGTGCCTCACCGGTCCTGAGCCTCAGTGTCTGGTAGATGCTCACTCAGTCTCTTACTGCCCGATCAATGGAAATATTTCCACAAGTGCTAGAACCAAGAGCGCTGTGTCTGTCAGTGGCTGGTATCGGATGGTAACGCGCGATAAGGGTGAGGAAGTGGAGTGGAGAGAAGAGGTGCAGGTGGCAGTAGCTCTGGCAGTCCTGTGAATGTTGGAAAATGGGAGAAGGAAGAAGAGGAGGAGAGGAGGAGGAAAGGGATGGCAAGGAAAACGGGAAAGGACGTATAGGTTCACTTCTCTATTTGAGCTGTTTCACTCCAGTCTTTTGCCTGGGCTTTAATCTGCCTCTCTCTCAGACACACTGTGGATCTGACTCTCTCTCACTGCCCCTCTCTCTCTCTGTGTCCCTCTAACATACACAAAGTATCTCTCTCTCTCTCTCTCTCTCTGTGGTCTGATCCGACGGTGGCTGCGTGCTGTCCTGTTTGACAGAGGGGAGATATCCTCAGCACCGGTTGCCGACGAGATGCACTTTATGCAGGGAGCAGAATCACAACACGAGAGCCGAGCGCACGCACAGAAAGCAATCTTAGCCTGGAGCGAAGGAGCCAGCAAGAGGACAGAGAAATGATCCCAGTTTTCTAAACGATGTGTATTTTTAAAAATCCACCGGTTGGTAAGTCAATCCTCTGGTTTCCAGATAGAAGACGAGTAGGGGGAAAAAACCACAGTGAGTGAGTCCCAGGTGCCGAGTAGAGAAGGAGTCCCTCGTCTGCGATCCTCCCTCTTCCTGCACTTGTAAAATGTGTTCCTTATTTTGTCCTTGGCTCTCTCACTCCTCTAAGCAGCCTGCCTCGTTCTCTTTCCCTCTGTCACACAGTTGCTCTCTCTCTCTCTCACTCTCTCTCTCTCTCTCTCACACTCTCTCTCTCTCGCTCTCTCTCTCTCTCGCGTGCGCTTTCTGTATCAGTCAGCCTCTCTCTCTCTCTCTTTCTTCTCCACACTGACAGGGCGGTAAAGGGGGCTCGTCCGAGGCTACAAGCAGAGCAGAGCGCCTCCTCCTTCTCCAACCCAGCCGGTAGGAGGGTCTTTAGCAGATCTGTGCGAGAGAGGGATCCAGACACAGACCAGCGGGCTGCAGCGTTTCCACAACCTGGGAGAACGCAGGGGAGAGGAGTGGAAGCGAGAAGGGGGGAAGGCGTCGAAGCGAGCAGTCGATTCCCCCTACTGGCTGCACACGGAGCTACCGCCTGTAACAGACTGAGTCCTCAACACTTTACAGAGTCTCAACCAGAACAGTTGGATAAACCACTTCCAATGTTCAACCTTACTCCTCAACTGCAAGAATTGAAAGGCAATACGTAATTTCTGTATAATATATAATAACTGTTGCCTAATAACTGTTGCCCGTGGACAAATATCTTAGCATTTATCAGAATCAGAATAGGTTTTATTACCAAGTAGGTTCACACAGAGGATGCTGCTGGTGTAGATGGTGCATACAAACACATAGAATGAAGAATACGCTTTTTTTTTTTTTAAAAGAAAGCTTCTTTTTTTTTTTATAAATAGTGCCAATACAAAAACTATTTTAAAAACGATTGTAACAAATAGTAAACAAAGACACGATAAACACATATGTAAAAATACATCATATATCATCTTATTTATACTTTTTTTTAAAAACGGAAAATGGTTTCAATGTTTTTTTGCCTCTTCTGCTGTTACCGTAAAATTGCAAAGTAAATCATATAACTTGATTTAGAACTTGTAAATATATTTTTCACTGCAGTGCAGGGTCAACACAATGTGCAGTAGGACTTCACTTTTATGAGCTATAATCACAAACACTACATGGAAAGGCAGTAAACAACTATCTCTATGGCACTGGCTGAGGAAGTCAAAGGAAGCCACTTCCTGTGCAACATCAAAGGATCACAATGGATGAATCGTCCTTTGAGTGACCATAGCCGTGACCAAAAACATCTAAAAAATGTCCCATATGTGAGTGTTTGCCTGAACACAAGCGACCTCAGCTACACCCATACTTCTGCGAAGATCAAAAACATGCATGCAGAAACATAATGCTCAGAATATCCCACTTTTTTCCACACACACACAAAGTATTTTGTGACATAACAAGTTCAGGAGTCTTCCATTTAAAACCTCTTGATGTTAGTCCTGCAGGAAAAAGAAAGCCACAAACTAAACCAGGAAATTATTTGACTGAGATATAATGATGTTTTCACAATTTACACGTCTAAAACTAAACTCAGATTTGATGAGATTAGTTGTGTAATGTATCTGTTACACTCGAGAGCATTACATAAAAACCCATGAGGCTCACATCTGCTTCTCAACAAATAATAACCGAATTACAGATTTCGAGTCCAACAATGAACTATCCAAAATGAATATTGTATGAATAAATTGATCAATTGCAAGAACATTTGTCAATAAAAACGTGATTTCTTTGCAATACAGATTATTTTCAACTATGAGGAGTTTGTTTTAAGACATATAATGTATTGAAAAATTACATATTTTTAGGAGAGCGATGTGTACACATGTGCATGTGGACAGATGCAATCAATAGCAGAAGAAGAATCCCAGGGACCAAAACAAAGCAGGGAGGGGAAGGGCAGCCTTTTACAGATATAGAGAGCAAAATATAATTATCAGATAGGCCACTTCTATCTGTAGGAAAGAGATGGGGCTGATATCGATTGTGGATTACCAGATTAACAGCCTGTGGATCAACTAGACACATAAACTCTCAGCATCTGGGGAAAAGGCAGAAAGTAGAGAACAAAGACAGTAAGACAGAAAAGGCCAATGGAGAGAGTAATAGAAAGAGATATGGAGAGAAAATAAGATAAGACGCAGTGGGAGACAGAACCTGGAGGAGGCAGAGAAGATTCATATATGGAGAAAAAAATGCAAATTAAGCGATCAAAGTAATACAATAAAAAGTGTGCTTGCAATGTACTGTGTGAATAAGTGTAATTATCACCCAGATTTAAAAAAATGTTTATTTTTCTTTAGTGTGAGAATGTATTTGCATATCATGTAGTTACTTAAATATCTCTGTGTTTTAGTCTGCTGGAAAAAACATTTGCTATCTGTCGGTATCACCTTTGGCTCTGGGAAATTGTAACAAGTCTGTTTACCATTTCATTTAATGTTCATGACAAGAGATACATGAAGTAATAGAGAATGACAATCAGTAGTTTGAGCTACAGTTTTAGAAATGTACTTCTTTACAGCCATATTCCAAACTCAAATCCATAAGAAAATAAATCCCAAATATTTTGAAATGTAGGATTATTAGCGACTGTTTTTGACTCGAAGATTTTTCTAATGTTTATTCTAATTAGTCGACAGAGAATGGAACACAGGGGAGTAACATTACAGACATTGGTCGGCTGAAAACCATTAATATTCATTGACCCAACCATTAAGAATTAAGAGTCGGGAATTGAGACTTGAAATTAAAGAAGTTGACCTGTGGCCCTTACAGACAACATGAGAAACCACCCTGAGGTGAACTCTCAGCCAAGAGTTGGCAAAGGTTACTTCTATTATTGAGGCATTTTCAAGCATTGTCACTGGAGAGCAATAATGAACGGTGCATGTAAATAAATGTCGGCACCGTGTTTCATTCTGTGGAAGCAGACCTTGAAGATAAGACGTGTGCTTTGCTCTGATGGTGATGCAAGCGCTCTGGTTTGAATCAGTGAGATTGACGTCACACACAGGTGATTTGCAGCCAAATATTTCACGAAAACGGAGAGTGAGTATCTCTCTGTTTTGTATCCTTCCTTATGCAACACCATGTGCTTTAGTCATCTCCATGTGGTGGTTGAGGCATGCTAATCTAGAACAAAAATTGATAATTGTTTCAATTTTTCAACAAAATATAAAGACTTGTTGAATTAGAAGATAGGTTTGAAGTGATTTCCCTACATATTTGTATTTAACCTTATTTGTACACTGGGGCTTGCCACCCAGAACAGCATATTTTGTGCTGGATTATTTCAAAATGAATTCAATGTTTTTTTTCCCAGTGAAAACTGATTTGTCAAGATGGAACTCAAACTGTGCCTCTCTGCTGTTTTAAATATTTAAAATCTTACACAAAGAAATATCTGGTAATACTTTGCAGACGAGGTCTGTCAAACATTTTTCGAAGAACAAAAAACCCAGGCATCTATTTGGAGGTCTTTCTTTGATGCACTTTCTAAATTAAGATCATGGGTGAGTCATTTACAGGTCTTTAGAATAGAAGAATAGGAAGACAGCCGAGTGTATCAGGCCCCTGTAGGGTTGGGTATCGTTTGAATTTCCACGATTCTGATTCCGATTCTATTTTCGATTCCGGTTCTTAACGGTTCTCAATTCCGATTCTTTGAGGGGCAGGGTAAAAAAATTATAAATTGCTTCTTCCACCAAATAAATTACATTTATTCGAGAAACTTTTACACAGGTTAGTTTACAGTAATATTCACATTAATCAGTCTGTTTATATTCACTGCTATGTAACTGTAACCTGAGAACCACTGAAGCTACAACAGTGCAACAGTCCAACTTTTAAAGGAAACCCCCCCCCCCCATTTAAAAACAGTTCTTGTTGAGAAAAACAAGCATATCTGCCTTCTCAGGCATACCGGGAAGAAATGTTTGAACATTTTAAAGTAAAATGCTTCAATCTGGTGCACTTTAAGCAGAATTAATAGAGACTAGATCTAGGGGGTACAACTCTAAACACCCATATGAAAAAGATCGGTTTACATTTGTAATAATCAAATAAGTATGAACATAACCAGTAACCTACCATAGCCAATAACAAATACATGTAACTTATTTTATTTTTGTTGTTCAATCATATCTTATTATTTTATTTATGCATATTTTTTTATCTCCAGTTTAAAACGATATGTCTGGTTTACTGTCCTATAGTATACATTGGAATGATTTCAAACCTGTTTTATCCCAATAATTATAAAGGAGTGCCTTGGAAATATGTGTTTACATAAATTGTGATCAAAACTTTTGAGACCCACTGAGATAACTTAGACTAAAGTGAACTATCTAAACACTCAAGAGTTATTTACCTCACTGAGCTGTAGTTATCAGCCTCAGTCTGACTGGAGAGGACTCTCCCTCCACATCATTGTAGAAACATCTTCTTCTTCCGTTAGAGCAGCTAGCACCAGATGCTAATAACAACAGCGCCCTCCCTTTCTCCCTTGCTCGCTCCCACGCTCACTCGCACTTTGTCTGTGAGCTGCGGGCGCCAGATAAGCCAACATCCCCCATTTTCATCACTTACAGCGCCCATCGTACAGGGCAAATGAAAAGTGTAACCGGGATGAAAAAGGTGTTACATTGACCTAATTTGTTTTCCCTCCCAGAGCTGTCAGCGCGGCGCCTCCACAGATCTGGCGCCCTAGGCGAACATCTATAACGCCAGTGCGACGGGCCGGCCCTGGTCACGCTGTAGGAAGTGTAGGTACAACGCCACATTTCCCGCCCCGCCGCTGTCATACAGTAGGCTACGGAGAGCGGCGAGAAACATTTCCTCAGGCATCGAAAAGCGGAACCGAAATTCACATGTCTAAATGATGCCGTTGGAATCGAAATGTTGGAACCCAACCCTAGGCCCCTGAAGGTGTTGAGTAGATGCAATCCCTGTCCAAAGAGTAAGACAAGTCTAGAAAAGAAATCCAAAGCATGAGGTCAGACTATTTCAACAGAGATTTCAAGTTTTTTTTTTTAGCATTTAAAGAATGAGATCATTCAAATTCTTACTCGGCAAACGGTAGAAGCCATATTTGTTTTTGTTAGATTTTTCAATTAAATTAGCATCCATGGAGATATTAGTGTCCTGAAACAACTGTTAAACTGCTAATG